GTGAAAGCTCTAATCCGTTAACATGGGTGCGTAAAAAAAAACGCACCCCGCACGCACTGCAGACAGAGTATCCATTCATCCTCGAACGTACAACAAATCAATGATAGCATTAAGGAACTGGAATTGTTAAGAGGAACGTCTCGTTTATGTATGTAACCCTCGTTCCCTGAAGGAGGGATCGCAGACGTCACGTCGGTGACCGGCGAATTGGGATCTTGCTTAGAGAGACCAATCCACTTCGAGTGTAAACTAAATGAGCCAATGCACATTGGCATGCGATGATTGCATCCAGCTGCCGCTGATCACAGCATAAAAAGGCAGCCAGTGCAACGCATACCAGGTTTGCGCTGAGGAGCCGAGCCGGTGATCTGACCACTCAGCGGTGGTACAGCATCTGTGGCGACGGGACGTGAAGTCTCTGTTCCCTCCTTCAGAGAACGAGGGTTACATATGTAACTGAAACATTACCTTTCAGTCGTTCACTCTCAACACTCTCGACAGTGACTGACGAATTGGGATCCCTACCAAAGCGCCATGGATGCTGCCCCTTCCCAGTGTCCTGTGTGAGCCTCCTGCACCCCTTTTTGGTGTAGGCCGGGGCTAGCAACAAGAAGACCAGTCACTGTTGTCGTAGCACTACCCACTTAGTGAGATTGGATAACACTGGGAAAACGTACCCGTACCACTTGGAACAGGAACGTTGCGGAAGCCCCATCCTTCCTGAAGGAGGTTTCAGAAGCACTGAAGCACTGGTGCATATGTAAGATTAAAGGTGATTATAACCCTCTTGGAAATGGCAGAAGTCTGCAGGGGAATCACGGGCTCAGAGGCTATACCGTGGACTTTACACACATGGGATCCACTTAGGTCTCTACTTAGGTCTCTACATATGGAACCCAGGCCTCTACCGGTTCTCACAGATTCATCGAATGAGGGCCTGGCACCGGAAGTTCTGCCACGTCTGGCTGCCGAGGGAATGTAGGGTTGCTCGACAGGGTCTACAGTACGGACACTCTGGAGCAGTTTTAGCAAGCCGACACTAAACCGGGGCCTCTCAGTGCCTCTACCTGTTTGAGTTGAGAACACAGGAGGATACAAATATCTGTCAGCGAGGCGCCACGAGCCAGCACCCAGGAGGATGCAACACTTTTAGTAGAGTGAGCTCGCAACCTGAGCGGGCAGGGCACACCCTGTGCCTGATAAGCCAGGGTGATGGCATCCACTACCCAGTGGGCCATCCTCTGCTTAGAGATGGCCTTCCCCTTCTGCCGGCCTCCGTAACAGACAAAGAGCTGGTCTGAGATCCTAAAGCTATGTGTCCAGTCTACGTACCATCTCAAGGCTCGGACGGACAAAGCAAAGCTAGGGTTGGGTCTGCCTCCACGTGCCTGATAGCCCAGGGTGATGCCATCCACTACCCAGTGGGCCATCCTCTGCTTAGAGATGGCCTTCCCCTTCTGCCGGCCTCCGTAACAGACAAAGAGCTGGTCTGAGATCCTAAAGCTATGTGTCCAGTCTACGTACCATCTCAAGGCTCAGACGGACAAAGCAAAGCTAGGGTTGGGTCTGCCTCCACTGGGGGCAGTGCTGGCAGGTTCACTACCTGATCCCTGAAGGGGGTAGTAGGAACCTTGGGCACATAGCTGGGGCCTCAGGATTACCTGGGAGTCAGCCGGTCCAAACTCTAGGCACGAATCGTCGACCGAAAATGCGTGCAGGTCCCCTACCCTCTTGATGGAGGCCAGTGCAAGCAGGAGCAGAGTTTTCATTGACAGAAACTTCAGCTCAACTGACTACAAAGGCCCAAATGGGCCCTGCTGTAGTACCCCCAAGAGGGTATAGAGGGGGGCCGGGGAGGATTTAACCTTCTGATGACCAGGTCATGCTTCCCTACCAATTTCCCTTCCACGGGGTCATGGTTAGCAGCAATCGCAGCGACATAGACTTTAAGGGTGGAGGGAGACAGCCTTCGTTCCAACCCTTGCTGCAAAAAGGAAAGCACGACCCTGATTTGGCATCTCCGGGGGTCTTCTCGGCTAGAAGAACACCACTCGACGAACAGGTTCCACTGGCGTAAGCATGTCTCGTAGACCGTGCTCTTGCCGAAGTGATGGTGTCAACTACCTCCTGAGGTAGGTCACTTTGAACCTACGCGTTCCATCCAGGTACCAGACATGAAGTTTCCAGAGGTCTGGACGTAATGCCACAGGTTGCCCCATCTCTGAGTCAGTAGATCCTTCCTCAGAGGAATCTGCCAGGGAGGGGCTGTCATGAGGAGCATTAATTCTGGGAACCAGGTCCAGGTGGGCCAATACGGCCCGTCCAAACCCCCGACACTGCGTGCCCGTTGTACGTGGCCTCCCCAGCCAGTGGTGG